TAAATGAGTTTCATAAAACAATAAAAATAATCTATATTCACAACATAAATCCCAAATTGCTGGGGGTAAAGAAAGGAATAGTTATCTCTTGCACTCTTCTTACTAAGTTTGCTACCATCCATTCTCAGAAGTGAACAGACCAGATTAAAGGTGAACCTGAGCCCATAGAGCAGTGCCTGTTTGCTAAATTTATTCATCCAATACTCCCTGGTAGTCAGCTCTTACCCAAATTATATTTGAGATGTTTGTGAAAGGCAAGTTCATAAATATTTTTTTTCTTGGCAGATGAAAATGGATAATTGCTCTTAACTTTTATTGATGAACTGATTTGATATACTGATTTCTTCTGTTAAAGGGAAAAATGCTCCCAAAATCTGATTTCATTATGTGCAGAGGATTTCTTTTAAAATCATTAGGAAAAAACTGTCTTTTTGCATCCTCTGTAATAAACGTTTCACATGGTTATGATTCAATATGTTTTACACTACACTTGCAATTCTCATTATTCTTCAAATATCACATTTAAGGAGGCTAATATACCATTAACATGATTAACTTTTTAATAGAAGTTAAGCCATATGGAACCAATCTGCACCATTCGGCCATATAAATGACTAGATAGTGAAGGTCAGCTCTGCCCCACTGCACCTGTGCAACTTCACTGGCTTCACTTGAGTTTGCAGGCCTAGACCAAGGGAGGAACCTGTCTCTCTAGAAACTGCGAGTTTAAGGAACTTTTTATTTCTTCCCAAAACAGGGACAATTCATAAACAGTCAAGGATTAATTGATAAACTAGACATGCCTGCATACAACCTGCAGGAAGCCTTTCCAACCACAGAAGCATTTCTCCAGATAATTTGGGTCTGTGGGTATGAATCATATCCTTTAGCACGGTATGTTCAGGATACTGAATTTTTATCATTATTTCTCTATCAATCATTAAATCTGTAAAACAAAAAGTAGCTGAATTGCCAGTGCAGTTGCTCAAAGGAGCAGCACTGCTGTTTCCCACAACCTTGTGCCCCTGCCACGAAGACAGCAACCACACCACACAATTCCATGTCTGAATCAGATCCTCTGTGGCTGATTCCAAGGTCCAGTGATAGCAAAGCTCATCAGTAGTCCTGTCACTTTTGCCACTAATCATATAGCATAGGTAATGTCAAGGAAACTCTCCAACTGTAGGACATCCTCTGCCCCTAAAAGCACACACAGCCTTTTGCCCCCTTTATCCTCCTCCCAACTCGCTGTCTGTAATTTTCTTGCCATCTCCCCTAACAGACTTTGCCTGTAAGTAGCAAATGTTCATGTTTCTCGTGCCCAGCCCATCATTTTCCTCGTGGTACACTGTGCCTCTCCCCTCTTCTCTCTTCTTCCAAAGGTGTTGTGGAAATAATACATTTTACTGACACAACACCTCCTGGGCATCTGGTTCCCACAGCTGGGGTACAAAAGGCAATAAAGATAAAACACAGTTCAGCAATGAATCACAAGCCTGAACAGATCTCAGAGGTCATCTAGTCCATCCCTCTGTCCCAAGGGAGGCTTAGCTATCCTTATGTAATTTCTTACAGACATCTATGTCACCTGCTTTTAAAAACTTCTGTGACAGGAAACTACATGAGCTCCCTAGGCAATATATCCCAGTGCTTCACTACCTTCACCTAGGAAAGTTCAATCTTTTCTCATAGGTCCCATTTTCTACTCTCTTTCTTTACATGTCTCATTAGGTCTTTTTTGTTTTCCCCACATAAACAACTCCTGAAGGAAACTGAAGCAGTTTCTCTCAAAAGGCACTTTCGAAAGTGATCACTGAAAAATTTTCTGTACACAGCTGCTGGAATTAAGTTGCTTTCTTCCATTGTCCAACTGTAACATCCTTTTAAGACTTACAGGGACTAAAGCACTTACTCAACTCCTGCTTGTTTCAATTCCTTTGGTTTTACTCCAGATATGCATAGGTAACAGCAGAAACAAGTCCAGATAGTCACAGTTCCCATATGTGTGCCTATAATGCCTATTATCAGAAACAGTGTAACATCAATGCTAAAACATAAACCATCAAATCAAGGAATTTTTGAGATATAAAAAACAATTCAACTTTCCATAGTCATACTGAAGTCATGTTTGATAAAGATAATCACAATTTTACAAAACAATGACCTATCAAGGAGATTATGTTTTATTTTGCTCAAGGAAGCAGTTTTGTTAGGAACATGCTAGGTCCACCAGCAAGAGCAGAGCACATAAGATTTGGCTCAGTTTTCCTAAACCCTGTGAATTCATATGTCACTTGATTTATTTATTTTTTCAATCACTGAAGAAATAAAAGAGGGAGACTATAATCAACTCGCATCTTCTCGATTATTGTCAGCATTACTCTCCTCAGGGAACAGAGAGGAAGAAAGTGCATATAAAGGTCAGAAATACATTATTTTGTAAATTAATTTAGTCTGCTGCATGAAGCAGCAAGGACAGAGGACACACCTTACTAAGATTTTTAGCCTCTGAAAACAAAAGAGAAAACTGTAGTTATTCACAGACAAAAATTAATCAGGAACACCTCTAATAACACTGTAGACAACACAAAAGTAGTTATTTGTTTCAAATAGTGGATTACAAAAGCCAAAGGCCCTAAACGGAAGAATTTGGTTTGGCTCCAATAGAATTATTTTCCAGTATAAAAAGACAATGCATTACTGCCTTCAACTGCATTTGTGTGTGCATTTTACTATCATACACGCAGCACTAACTTATCAAAGGACCAAATGTAAGAACTGTGAAAGGACTTCAGGCCTTAACAGATAAGACGCGTTAAAGGTTGTTTCAAAGAGACAAATCTTTTTTAAAAAATAATAATTGAAAAACAACAACAATTAATTAAAAACTGAACAAAGGAAGCACATTTTAAACACTAGTTTAACTTAAGTATTTATTATGCATTTTAAACTAGGTGTATCAATGAGAAATTAAAATTTGTGATAGTCCTCTTTGAGCTGAAGGTGTCTCTTGCCAATTTTCGGAGAAAACCATTCCCTCATGATTTTCACGATCTTTTAAAAGGTGTGGCAATGTCAGTACAACAGATGTGAAGAATTTTATTTCAGCTGACCAACTGAGCATTACATACACATTACATACATACATAGAAACACTACATAGTCGGAGCTGAAAAACTAACACTTGGCTACTGAAGGTGTCTCATACTTCATCTATCTCCAAATCAGATGCCAACATATTTCATTATGACTTCTGATCACAGGGAAAATATACAGGCTGATACTGATATTCAAAGCATTTAAGACAAGCCACTCCATGTGCAATCATGGAAGAACATCCAGTCCTTCTGATCTAAATATCAAGTGAAGATAAAACATGGGAAAATCTAAAGCTTGCATCAGCAGTTTCCCCCAAAATACTAAAAATCTCCATCTATTTTTAAAAATATTTGTAAAATACAAAAGGGCAGAATATTGATTTGCAAAATCCACAAGGGGTTACTTTCCTCAGATTACAAAACTGACGTATTTGAAAGTCCAAATTTTAACGTAGCTGCACATGCCCATTATTCATCTGAACCTCAACATGTAGCAAGTACACTGCAGTAATTAAACCATGCATTTTGCAGAACCTAAGGCATAAATTAAAAAATTTCAACCAAAGTTTCTTCAAATGTTATTACAGATGACTGCATCTCAAAATATAAAACATCATTCAGAGAAAAAGAAATAATCAAAACCTCAAAACAAACTAAAAAATGCAGCAAAACATGAACCAGAATGCAAAGAATGTCCTAAAGGCAAGATTAGCAAACACACCAGCCAGTGTTAAGTTACAGTACAAAGCATTTTTAATTTTTCTTCTGAAAATCCTGCTTTGTGTTCCCAGTATAGGAAAATCATCCTTCTGTTTTCTACATTCTAAAAAAATGTAAATCATCAATAGCCAAGAGAGCATCAGCTGATCATATTTCAGGATGCAGCATGGGAGTATTAAGTGACTGAGCATTGATCAGATGACGAAAGAATCTGGAGACTGAGTCTCAAGTAGTATTGGTTGACTCTGATGTTAAGTATGTTCATATTATATAAGCCTACATTGAAGTAATGCTTCTGCTGCTGGAAAGTGCTGTTAAAACTCTGCACACACAAACACCTTTGCAAAGTCAAGCACTTACAAAAACATTTATTCTGTTCAATCAAGCCATCTTAAAATGGCCTGCTCTTAAGCCAACTTTCTGGCAAGGAAATATGGATCAGTACATGACCCAACCAATTCACTGGTCTCAAGGTAAATTCTCTCAGCATTTAATGTGTGTTACCTGCAGAAAATTTCTTTTTATGTAATAAGCTACTAGCCATTAAATTACTTAAAATGATGGCACCTTTTCTCATGTACCTTGCACATACACAGAGAAAAGAAGACAGCAGTATTTCAAAAGATTATGCTTACATATACCTTCTAAATGTATATGGTTCTCTAGGGAACATTCAAGTCAGCAATGTCTGTGACACTCAGGCTATAATTAGTAAAATGAAAAAGAATCAAAGAATTATTCAGTTTGGAAAAGATGCATAACCTTTTTCACAACAGCAAACAGTTAACTTCACATTATTTCTCCTACTTTAGTGCTCAAATCTTCCCCCTTTTTTAAAGTAATCAGCTGCTTCCAATCTTCCACATTGCAGCTGCTGTGCATTCAATGCCAGGTGCTGCACACCTCACTAGCACAAACTCAGCACAATGCAAGACCTTCTTTAGCCCACGTAGTTTCATATACTGCCATAGCCTGACAGAATGCCTTTGGCTGTTAGCAAATTCAAACAGGATCTGTTGCTACATCACACAAACACCTTGAAAGTCTCCCTGTTAAGAAAAAAAAAAAAAAAAGAAAAGAAAAAAAGGAAAAGGGAACTGCCTACAATCTCCAAACATGCCAGTGCATTCCTGACACAGAATATGCAATGCAAGAAGAGAATAACGATAGTATTTATGTTACCTTCAGTCACATAGTTGTGGTCTCGAAGAAAGCTGTGGTTAATTTTTCGTGTGTCCGTGTCCTCGCCCATTTACAGCAGGATTACTCAGCATGCCTATCCGCAGTGGACTGATAGCATCAGCAGAGGTCGTCACAAGAGCACCATCCATGCTGCCACTGCCTAGCAGAGGCGGAGAACACACTGGGCTACTGAGCACAGCATAATGAGAGCTAGTGATGCAGCACAGATTTGGGAGGGGGGAGAAGGTGAATAACGATCGGGAAGGAAAAAAAAAAAAAAAAGAAAAAAAAGAAAAAAGAAAAAAAACCGAAGCAATAAAAGAAAGACGGAGAGAGAAACGGCTCCAATAAATTATGAATGCAGAAAGCCAGTAGGGAGCTTGCGTAAAGGGAATACAGGCACTTCTCCTGCAGTTAAAGAATAACCCAATTGTTTAGTCAGGTACTCCTTAAACAAGTGCCCACGCAGAGTCTCCTCCAAGTGCCTGCTGCTGGGGATCTTGCTGGATGCTGTCAAGTGGCAATCAGCGTACTGCAGCAAAACCCGCCCGGAGCAGGGCTGCTCGCTGGTGCTGCTCTGCTGTCATATGCCTGTGCTGCATCAGAGCAGGCCCCTCCCAGCCACCGCTCCTGCCCAACCGCACAAGATCTGCATGGAGCAAAGTGAAAAATGAGACTGCAGGTAATTATTTTAGCTCTTCTGCCGGTAAGATGGGCAATGACAAAAATTAAGGGAGGGGATGTGGGAGGAAAAAAAACCCAAACTTCAAGCTGCTCAGATGGGTTTGCATTGACACGTACAGCAGCACACGGGTCGTGCGACCACAATCTTGTGCTAGTCGGTGGTGTCATATGCAGCAAAAGCAACAGTCGTTCAGTGTCAGCCTGTATAAATAGTACTGACATGGCCAAATACCTGCCTATGCAAACAGTGTCACTACAGGCAAGGCAACCACTCCGCTAAAGTAGGATAAAATAATTGTTATTTATCTTTTAATTTTTGCCATTTTGTAGATAAGACAAATTACAAAGTGGGGGAGGAAAAAGAAAAAAAAAGAAACAACCACAAGGGCCAGAAAGCAGTTCCTGTGACATCCCTGCACAGGAAAGTAAGGCTGGACAACAGGAATGTCTGCAGGTCATGTGGTTTTCTTAGACCTGCTACTTTCATTCACAGCATTATCTCATCACCTTGAAAAGCAATGTTGAAATCTGCACACTCAGGAAAACAAGTAGAAGAGGAGAGTTATTCACTTGAATTATAGAATAAAGTTTGCTCATTAGTCCAAGTCTTTAATGCCTTATTACAGCAAAATTCTTTCAACTGAAGAGACAAGCAGTTTCCTTAAACTTTCAGTGTCTGTTCATGAAACCATGAACTGTTTGCTGCAGAAGGCATGTATTCTGAAATGGTAACAGCACCACTGAATATTAGAAATATAAACAGAAACAAATAGCTGTGTACCAAAGGCATCACTACAGCATGAAAAGGGAGTATGCAATCACAAAATCAATTTAGAGGACAGATGGATGATCCTGTGGTTTAGGTCCTGGAATTGAATAAAGAAAAAAAATACAATTCAGTTGTCAGCATTACCACAGCATTTTGTGTAATCCTGCATGAATCTTGCACAGCTTTTTGGTTTTCTTTTTGTTTCTTTTTAATGAAGCTATGAAATACAGTTCTTGAAGGAAAATTCGAGTACCCTGCTATTACTACAAAACAGGCATGTGACTTAAGAAAAAGTAGAGAACTATGTGAAAACCTGCCCAGGATAAAGTAATTTTGGGAGAGAAAGGATACCAGCAAAGGAATTGCCTTCTTCCCTTTCTCACTGATGAAGGAAAAGAAAACAGAACCATCTTCAAGCTGACCAATAAATACTATCAAATCTTCACATCTGAGAAGTTGGGGAGGTAAAAAGTTATTCAATACTTGCACCTATGTAAGACATATATTATTTATATGTAACTTTTGTGGATGACAGCACTAGAAATGTTATTTCTGCATTAAGAGTATCAGTCAATACTGTGGTGGTACCTGCAGCTTTCAACTGGTGCCTTAGCCCATGCTTGTTCAAATGATTGTACCAAATCCTTTCCCTTCAACTTCAACTTTCAACTTCAGGATATACTGGTACCAGCCACTTTTCAAGGCTGTGCACAAAACAATTTTTTTTTCCAGTTTGGAAGGTAAAGAACACGAGCAGCAGCACTGAATAAAACAGGACCTGCTGCCTCCTAATCAGCAACATTTTCCTTATGAATATGCATGGCCTGAAGCCTTAAGTACAAGGTGGTATCCCAAAACAAGGATGCAGTCCTGCCAGAAGCTTTAGGGGACAACAGTGAATTCTATTCTTCTGAATTTTCTATCTATTTATTGGAAGCAAGTACAGCATAAATACTTGAAGAGAATGCTAGCTACAGTTCAGAAAGTAACTGTGAGAACCTGTAAATATAATGAATGAGAAAATATACCTAGAATTTAATTGAAATAAGGAAGGAGACTTTGCAAGTACTAGTATTTATTTCATATAAAATTACCCCAATCCACGTGACAGAAATGGTTTATTTTGGCCTTCCCTGCCACATTATTTTATTATCTTGGATTTGTCTTAGAAAAATAACTTCAATAATTCTGTTAGGAACCTAAGTTCCCTGTATACTCAGCATAACTTTTGGAGGGCAATTATAAGCATCTGCATCAGAAACTTCTTTCTCTGTCAGGCACCCAAGTTAATGACTGTGATAAGAGTTTGCCTTAAAAAAAAAAAAAATCTGTATTCCCCTACTTTTCTGAACAGTTCTCTTTATATTTCTCTAAATATAAAAATGAATAAATAAATAAAAATAAAAAATGTATTAGTCATAGGTCTCAAATAAAAAGTAAAAAGTTTTGTTTTATTCTAACACCTCTATAGTAATTGTTTCAAATATTTCAATTCATATAATTTAATCTATATTTCAATACACAATCTTCAGATACTTCAGAATATTTCATACTAAAAATCATTATGCAGCCCAACAATTTCAAAAAACCTAATGGCTGCTATCACAATTGGAAATTATTGTATTATTCATAAAGGGGAAGTTTCTTCAACACACAACCTTTTGCTGCATGAAACCTAAAAATAACACATCCTCAGAAGTAATAATTTATTTTTAGCCTGCATACTCTAGATACAGAATAAAACTAATGCCTCCCAGCACCTGGCAACTTTAGAAACAAGGCAAGTAAAAATTATCATAATATAATTTAAATTACAGAAGCCAACTTCCTTCAACATCTTCCACCTTGTCTGTTCTGGTGAACATTTCATAAGGATCCTGAGCAGCGTCAGTGCCTCTTTCAGGTTTGCAAAATGGCAGAGCACAAAATTAACTGAATCCACACCATGCTCATCATTTTTCACACAGAAACCAGCAGTTTTGCTCTCCTTTTTGCACTGTGCAGGTGACTGTGGGGAAGCTAACCAATATGGAAAGCTCTGGGCCTAATTTAATGATCTTTTCCATAATTAAGAGAATGCAGCCACAATATCTGGGCATTATGGTTCCTGCAAGAAGTTCCCGATGAGGCAGAACAGCTGCCTTGAGCTATGACATCCCTGTGCCCCCAGGAAGCTCCTCTCTAGGGCCAGTTTCACTTTGGCTGGGAAGCAGGAGGTTTCCCCATCCCAAGATAGCAGCTGCATACGACACAGCCTTCTCCTGGCTCCCCTAAGGGCACATTAATCCACAGTCTGGCAACCCAATACAGAGCATTGCTTTCTGGTGTTCCCCTCAGAGAAAAGAAGAAATTGGAAAGATAACCAGTTCTCTATCTACTTAAGTCTGGTCAGAGCAAGCCTGCAGCTGAAGAGCTGGAACTACCAAGGCAGAAGTCATAGTTGCATCTGGCCATGGGGTACAGTGCTGAAAGGCCCAAATTTCCTGAGCTCACAACCTTGGATGGCACTGAAACACTGTAATAGAGACAGTGTCTGTCTCTTTGCATCTGCCTTTAGTGGTTTAAAATCATATCTAAACAAAAACCTGCTATGTATCAGCTAATGAGTGCAAGGAGCTAGTTAACAAGAACACTAAGAAATTCTAATCAATATGAACTTAGTGAGTTCTGCACATTCTAGGGACAATGCTCATTTGGCAAATTTCAGAATACCATAACAGATTCTAGCAGGATCAAGTTTTAGCTTGAGAGATGGAAAGAAAGGCTGCAAAATGATAGGGGAAGGAAAAGCAGAAAGAACAGGTAAATTGCTAAAAGGAAAAGTGGGAAGTTTTCCCGCAAAAAAACCCAAACTATTCAGTGACTCCATCAGGAAGTGGTCCAAAGGAAAGAGCACAGCATGTGGAATCAAAGACCAAGCACTAATTCCAGCTGTGAGGCATTTTTCTTCCTTGTGCTTCCTTTTTACTCTTCCACTGTCTTGCCTATTTAAGCCAAAAATTACATGAGCATAAACACAATCTTCCCTACTACAGGCATTAAATGGAGATTGATGCAGAACCCCTGAGCAATACTGATACTTATGAGATGTTGTTTCCAAGCTAATGAAATTTACCTGTTCCTAAAACAAGCTTCCATGTCCTTTCTCTCTAAAGTGATGCCCGTGATAACATCCCTCTCTCTGAATTACCTGACAGTATCAGCAACTCACTGACATGTTCTACTGTTGTCTAAGGGAGAAAAACTTTTCAAAAGTATGCCTCTGCATGCAAGCCTACAAAATCATGATGTGTGCAGTTTATTCAAACTAACATTTTTATTACATCCTTTTATGCACACAGAAAGCAAGAAATCTATCCACACTACTAAAAAATTATGAACCCACAAAGCAGCAATAGGTCCTAAGAAGAACAGCTAAAATCTAAAATTCTGCTGGAAAGGGCTGGAAATCACAAAGGGAAGATATTTCAGTGGCTGTTCATGATGAACAGATCATAGGCACCAGAGCACACAGCACTAGAGGTTGCTGAGGGGCACTGTCATAACAGTGGAGCCTCAGAAGCTGAGCTGCATGCTGCCTCCCCAGCAGTTCATTCACCACACTGTCAGATATGGTTTCCAGACAAGACCTATTGCTTTACAGGCAGGAGAGGCAGCAATTGCAAAACTAACTTCATACCCCCAGACAAG